GTGTGTGTGTGTGTGTGTGTGTGTATGTGCGGAAACTCAAAGAATGTGAAAATGGAAAAAAAAAAACGAGATTTAATATAGTCACAGTTCATTTTGTATTCATGCACTTTACAAATTTCTTGTTCACAGAAAAGCAGGGCTTCTGTGTGGGTACCCCATTTGTTTTATTATATGTTGACCACAGCTGCCTTGGCAATATGTGCAATTTCAGTATATGCATTTGCTTTTGAGTGGACTTTAATTTGACTGCTGTCCGCTTGGTGACACTGCTCCTGCAAGCATCAACTCCTTTGATAGATAAACTTGAGCTATATGCCTAAGTTATGAATGCGACAAACAGGAGACAGCTTTCAGAGAGCTGTGTCAGCTGTGTGGCTATGTTTTCTCCAGCTGCTGCACTAAATTAATGGAATATTTAATGTTCAGAGCCATTATTCTAGCAAAAGTCTTATATATTTGGGTGTGGTTTCCCCAATATATGTCACATAAATTGAACCACTTTTAATGAAAGCATTCGCACAAGTTTTAAACTTTGCTTAATATGCATTTCTATTATTTGGTATTTTCCAATGAATTAAATCATTTATTATTTTCCTGTATTTAATGATATTAAAACATAAATAATCTAATATTTATTTATTGCATTAGTAATAAGAATTTAAATACATTTTTATTTAATTAATATGAAATATGAATTTCTATTTTATTTTTCTTCTAAAATGTATTATTATAATTTTGTTTTTCTTGTCTTTATTTATAGAGGTGTTTAAGCACGTTTGAAGCAAAAAAGAAAAAAAAATCAGTTCCGCGAACAATGCAAATATCGAAAAGGAAACACGTGCAGATATGCCAATGGCCGAGTGACAATCATTACGACTACGATGAACATAACAGGAAGAATAACAGCAACAATTGCAACAAAAACAATTGTATCTGAAATACGGAAGCGCAAACAGACACAAATGTAAGCACAGCTTATGTGTGTGTGTGTGTGTGTGTGTGTTTGCTATATTTACATACCACATCACGTGTTGTTTCAACACTAAAAAAAATGAAAGAAAAACCTAAAGTGGAACATGAATGGATAAATACCCTTATAGATAAAAATGCTATGCAGATTCCTTAGTAGCAAAAAAAAAACTAATTAATCTTATTTAAATATTTTATTATTATTTATTATTTTAATTTATATTTTACATAAGAACTTAACTCGACGTACGTTAACCTTGAGTCGATCTAATTTAAGCAAAATTTACTCTTGCCATATACAATTTGTAATATGAATTAGGGAATATTTAGCTAGTTCTTTTTGATTCTTTCATTAGAAGCTGTTTGGCACTACAGCTCTTCAATGCATTACTTATGACTTGATTAAATCATAATACCCCATTTGAGAGCCATAAAACCCAAATCTCACATGCTTAATGTCAAATGTTTTGTTTGTCTTTTGGCGCACGTCAGCGCCTCTTGTTTAAAACGTGTTTATTTTAAATGCAATTTAAAATTCAGCATAAAAAGAATAGCAAGCAATAATGTTGAAGCCAGTCACGTGTTGTGCTGGATTCTAAAATGGCATTGGCAATTGAGCAACAAATAGAGCCCAAATCAAAGGTTTAAGTCAGACACAAGATACAACAAAGCCAAGTGATTTAAGTTGAAAAGTGGCTTTGGCTTAACTTACCAAAAGAAAAGGAGACACACAGAAAGGGAGAGGGAGATGAGGTAGAGACAGAGGGAGGAAGAGTTCAAGCTGACAGCACACAACTAGGTCAATATACTCAAAATTGTTCGAGAAAAATTTGCCAAAGTGTTTGCTGCAACAAGACAAGGTAAATCATATATATACATACATATATGTGATTTGTATATATGTGTGCTGTATATAGCTAACTGGGAACTTTCTGGTTTTTTGTGTCATATCCAGTGGCATTTTGCATGTGGCCTTATCTGTCTGCCCTTGTCTTCAGCTGTTTCTAATTAGCAAGTTGTGGCTGCAACGTCAACTATCTCGAGAATGCGGCTCGCAAACATTGCACAAATAAACCATATAAGCCGTTTACTACTGTCTGTCTGTCTGACTGTCTGTCTGTCTGTGTGTGTGTGTTCATTGGCGCATCTGTTCGTAACTGCATTATTATTGTGTACTAAATCTAATTGTGTTTGAGGCAAACGGAAAGTTCAATTATGTAAATGCTGATAACATAATATTACCCATTCGTAGCGTGTGCCAGCGAGGGGACTGTTTGCAAGCAAGCGAGCTCGTTAAATGCATTCCTTCTAGCTTGCAATTATCCTCAGTGTAGGCGGGTAGGAGGGGATAGAGTGCTGACTGCTTATTACAGCTTCCTGCAATTATTTGCAGACACAATTTGTGATTGGCAGCAGACAAATTTCAAATAATGACTTATAAATGTCTATATATATATACGTGAGTGTTTGTGTGTATTTCTTGCAGATAAATCAGCGTCAAATAGTGAAATGTGTACGTATGTGTGAGTATTTTCGATTACGATTATTACATATTTACATATTATTTAAGTTAGTGTAGCAGCCAAGACTAGGTTAAGGGAGTGTTTTCGAAACTTCAACGTGACTTTTTGGCGTGTGGGCCAATTAATAAGACAAAAATATGTACATAAATATATTTTATATATGTACTTTTCTAGGGCTTTCAATAAGTGTCTCCAAACCGCAAATACTTGATGTAACTGATTAAGTTTTGTCAGAAATATGCATAGCAGCTCTGTAATACCTCTTGAGGCTTTGGTTGTGTGTGACTTAAGGTCACCGCAACCGCAGGTCATGTCAAACTTTAGCCAAGTACTGGCAATAAATCTACGTTGGAAATTCTAAAAGTTTATTTATATTTCACCTGCTGTGCGCCAAAGTATCAGCGACAGCTAAGAAACACATATATTTTCATCAGTTTATTCCCGACCTGACTCTGCTATTAAGTTTCAGGCACCCAATGGTAAGCACTTTCCTTGAATTTGCCATAATGACACAAACTGAAATAGGCCACTAACTAAATGATTACCATCAAAAGCAGTGTTTATTTAAAGCAGTGTTTAAATTTACGAAATTGGCAGAAAAAACAATATAAATATTCCTCTGCTAATACTAGTATAATAACAGAATGTGGAGGTGAATGCTCTTTGGCTCTATTTTGCTCAGCCATTGGGGATAACAATAGCAGTAGCAAGAGTAAACAAATTCTATTGTGCTCTGTGTAGTTTTAGTAATAACAACAAAAAAAAAAACAAATCGAGAGCAAAAAAAGTAATCACATATTTGATTTGCTCGTTTGCTACCGGATTTCCAATGACGCTTCTATTGGAGTAATTTTAAGATTTCTTTGTGCTCTATATCATACAACTGAAGTTGTTGCTTTGCGGTCATTGCATGTGAAAGTTAAAGGCGTATCTGAGCAGAAAAGCAGTGTAAATTGTGCTCTGTCGTGTTACAAATCATAAACCAAAAAAGATAAACAGCAAACAGCCAACACACACACACACCCGGGTCCAATTATGCAAGCTAACAGCGCAAAAGTGCAGACCACAACAGAGACATCATTAGTATGCAGTTTGTTGTTTGTATTTACAACTTTGTGTGTGTGTGTGTGTGTGTGTGTGTGTGTGGGCGTGGCTGGGTAAACTTTTGGCCACAAGTGACTCGCGCGTTGACTGTGAATCGTTGCTGTTAGTCAGAACATAAAAACATTCTACAAAAAGCGGCTTTAAAATAAAACAATTACAATGCACGAATAGGGTATATCCAATTGTCAAAAGGTCTGAAGTAAGCACTCCTAAAAATGTTGTAAATCTTTTATCAGTTATATTTAGGCACCTGAATTTTGTAAAAGAATTCTGCTTAAAATATTGATGTGCATTTATAATTCTTTAACACCCCCGCTACAATACTCTTAATAATATAAAATATATATATAGAAACAAGTAAGAATGCTGTAGTCGAGTGAGCTCGACTACGATATACCATGAACCCAGCTGTTAAATGCATTCTAGTTTCGTTCACAAAAATATCTTTTAAAACTTTTTGCACTCAAATGTGAGCAGCTCTGCAAGTGCGCTCATTTCTCATAACAAGCACAATCATTGAGAAGTAAAAAAATATCGAATAAATAAAGCAAACTTGATCTGCACCGGGTATACGAGAACCTATATTCCAAGTTTGAAGTGTCGACTGTTGAATCTTATCAAGAATATATATACTTTATGGGGTCGGAGATGCTTCCTTCTGACTGTAACACACATTTGCACAAAACCATTATATCCTTTTTAATCATTTATAGTGGGTTCATGGTATAATTTTCATTAATTTTGACGCTTATTTAGAAATTATTTATTTTATTTTATTTTATTTCTATTTAGTTTTAAATTACTGGTTCTATGTTTTAAGCGCCTTATTTTCCGGGATGTATGAGTGCATTTTCACAAATTTGTATTATCGTCTTTGTACACCAATTTTGTGGGTAAAGGGTATTAAAACAATATAATCCATTGAAACCCAAATCGTAGTTAAGGCCTTAATTAAAATGGAGTGCTTGCAGCTTGTTGTTTTTAATCCTTATGTTAAATCTATAGCAATAAATATTGAATATGGTATGGATTCGATACGCTGTGTTCCCACTCATTCAGCCATAAACTGCACTATTTGGTCCATTCATGAATGTGCATTGCGAATTCAACGAGAAACTGAATGAAAGGCATCGCTTCAATCAATTTCAAAAGGTGCTTTCATCATTGAATATGTGGGTAGTAGGTCAACAGCTTTTTTTTTTTATCTATAGTTAAGCCAATACAATCAAATATGCAATATCATATGTTATGTTAAGGTCGGCGAAAAGCAACAAAAAGCAGTCGAATAATGACAGGCACATTTTGCAGGCCATATATGTAAATTGCTGGGCATGAAATGCAAATTGTTAAGTCTCTGACGAGTGAGTAAATTTTGCGTGTATAAAATCAATATCTCATATAGGCTCAACTTAAGACAACATTCAGCAAATGTTTATTATTATATGGTAGCATGGTAGAAGAATTATAGCATCTTGAGCGTCTTCATAAGTCCTACAGAAATAAATAGTGCATTAAAAGGATACTAGAAATACGATATATGATTTTAATTTTACGATTTTTCTGCAAGGTATCAAACCGGATTAGGAATTTAACGATTGAAATTCAGAATCGGAATCAGAACACATATTCAAAATGGTTTAAAGACCTCAATACCGGAACTGATATTATTTGTTCAGAAAAAGCCATACATTCTTTGCTCAAATTCATTATTAATGGGTTCACGGTAAAACAAGATATAAAGAAATAAAGATACCAATACCTAATTGAATATCTTGACGAAGTTCTGAAAAATACTGGAATCTTTAGCAGAATTTTTGATACTTTACGTTACAGTAATATAATCAGAGAATAAATTCTTTTCGGTTTGACACCCTGGATTTTAGTAATATAGGTTCATACAAATTACCCCATCTTCCAAACAGAGGACTTCGAAGTCTGTGCAGACTTCTGGTGGGCGCTTGGCCAATAGAAATAATGTAAGTATTAGTAAAGCCAGAATACAAAAAACAACAGCCCAATATCTATAATGCTTTTTTTGATATCTGGGATTCCACGGTACATTATACATCGCCTTGGTAACTAAATTCAACTGGGGGAAGTTATAAGTTAATATTTTTATGCTTATTTGTTGATTAAAATACGTACTTTTATTTCAATAACACTTAATGTCGTAGTCGGTGCATTCTCCAAAGTCCGCTCGGATTGTATAAAAAAGACCCACAAGGATTAGGAACAACACAATTAACACAATTGCCCAGAAGATAATACGATAAATAGTCGGCGTGATTTCAAATTTCTTTTCGTCCTGCGTATCAATATGTGGTGAGTTACGATGTCTCGATATTTTGCTGCCCATTTTCTCAATTTGAAATACAGTTTTATTTCAATAGAATTTTGAAGAGTGCTAGGTTTCCTAGAAATCTTTGTGGCTTCAACGATTACTTGGTTTAAATTGCCAACACTTTTCGGAACAATAACTCAGTAGAACAATGAAATTTTATTGAAATTTGTGGCCATTAGTGCTGAAATGGCAGCTCGAGCGGAACCAGTCCCAATTTGGACAACAACTTTATTGTAACTGTAGAAACTTTGGCTAATTATTTAAGTTAATTGGCCTTTTTGGCCACAAAAAGTCAAAACAAACTCACACAGACCCACAGACACACACAACACAACACAACACAATACAACAAAGACCATGAAATAATGTGGGAAGTCTGCATAGGATCCCGTGTTGGCCTAAAATAGGTTAAATATTTGCACAAAAGGCCACAAATGTCTCGCAAATTTGTTAAAATTACTTACAAACAAAGTTATACAATTTCGACATCTTTCTTTCCTAGATGCTGGCCGTCAGGCGTCAGAAGTCGGGTCAGGGTCAGGGTTCAGGGGCTGGTCAAGAGGGTCTCATAAATTCCGAGTTTGTGGCATGACTTTTGTTATGCTCAATCAGAATGTAAATGCGAACGAAAGGACTCCCCTGTAAATGCCTGCGGTTCGCTCAACGAGTGTGAGATACTTTAAACTCATTTCTGGCCATTATTTGCCCTAGTAATTGGTTGCACTCGCCCTGCATATTTTATAGAATTGTTCAGATGCCTTCGAACATCTACCCACACAAATTTCAAGGTGGCAAATGTTTGCACATCAACTTGCGGCCAATTAGATGTGTTTGCAGTCGCAGTCCAACTGCAAATGGCCAAGGTCCAACCAAAAATTACCAGAGAGTAGAGTACATTAGTCTTAGTTTCCTAATGGTATAGAATTCAACCCGCAGGCTAGCTGAAAATAAACTCGAATGGAGTGCATCGGCTTACATTTTTAATCGCCTTAAGTTTAGATGTATGTTCGGTTCTATTTATTGAGCAATTCAAACAAATAAAATAACTGTAGTAGTTTTAAACTCAATGAACTAAATGCTGCCTCGTTTACCTAAACCTCACTGAAGTCTTCTTATTCTCTAACTGAGCTTACATATAGGTAAGTGATTCAAACAATTGCAAATAAACTATAACATTGTTATTCTCTATTTGTTTAGTTATATTAATGATGATTCGATTCAGTTGAATTTTGATTATTTTTGATTAAACCTAAAAAGTATAACAAATATGGGTACAACTAAATTTAATTCATGTGTATCAAAAGTCTGACAAAGAGTCTGAAATCATTTCCATAAAATGCCAGTTCCTCATATCTGAAATAAGTCCGTGTCAAAATCAAACTGAATGCCAATAAGCTATTCGCTTAGTGTCAGTTAAATATACGAATATACAAAGTTTGTATTGGGAAAATTAAATTTCGCAGAATCACATAAGGAAAACCTTAATTAGACAATGAGGAATTGGACTCAAATAAGATTTCAAAGTTTATTTAACCCTCTAATGCCCAAGAGGGCCCTTACTGGCTCTCTAAAATATCCCTTTTACTGAATTATTTTGGTTGTTGTCTCATTCGTAGAACCCAAAAAATTGATTTACTGGCATATGCAACATATTCTAATGGTAGAGTTAAATATCCAAAACAAATGTGAGCAAAAATAATGATTTTGAGACCATTTGGTAGGCCTTACTTGTCCTGAATAACAGCGAAATAAACTTAGGTCACCCAAGGGGGGTCTTGGGAACTAGAATAATAATTAATATTAGTACTAAAGAACTTTAATTACAGTACAACATTTCCATTCGATTCAATGAACTTGTTTCTTTTGTCACTTTAAGCTAATGCCATTGGGGGTAATTGCAAATGCAGTTTGACTGACATTGTGTGAGTCTTATAGAAATTATAACTAATTGCATTAATGAAGAATGCCCAATACTACTTAATCATGCCATTTGACGGAATATCATGTGATATGTGTGTTCATTACATGTTACAAGATGTGGCTGCTGTTGAGACTTGCTCGAAATGCTGCTTTTTGCCGTGTCTCGTTCAGAGACACTACGGCTTTTGGTTGTGTCTGTTTGATGTTAATGAAAGTTTCCGTCGTGCAAATAAGGCCAAAAGCATGGAAATCAGTAAAACAAATTGGAATCTGCTTTTTATCGCACGCTGCACGACACAAGAGACAGAACTCAAGAGCTTCACTTTGCCCACAACCTCATCGATTGCTGCTGCTGCTGCTGCTGCTATTTTGCTAGGATGTGTGTGGGTGTGTCTGTGTGCCACTATATGTGTGCTGTCCATGTTATTGACTTGCTCATTATGGCTCTCCTCTGTTGGCAATGTCGTCGTTCGCCAGCTGCTGGTTGACTGTCGCCTTGGTTGCGATATTGCTTCGCTTTGCCTCTCTTCGCTTCGCTTCGGTTCAGTTTGGTTTGGTTTGGTTTGGTTTGGTTTGGTTTTCATTTCGATTCATTTTCAATTTAGCAATGCCACAAAGCATGGCACTTTTCAATTCCTATCGTATCGTGGCATTTGCAATCAGTGCTCATTTTACCATAAATTGATAATTTTCTAACGGATATACAATTTCCGAAGCCCGCATTCAGAACACTCGCACAATCGCAGAATCGCAGTCGTTGACCCGCCGCAGGCGCAGCGTATTAAATTCCAAAGCCGCAACAAAAGTAAAATTATTCAAGTTAAGCATAGCCTTAATAAATATAAAAGGCATACCAGAAAGAAAAAAATGTGCAAAGTCTTTAGGAAAATGCAAAGTTCCAGTTGTCCACAACAACACAAGCCACGCACCGTCCAGGAAAGCCAACGGCCCAACTTAATATCCAACTAGTAGACAACTATCCAACTCTCTATTCAACTATCCGGCTAGGCAACTGTTTATTTTCAGTACACTTATTGCCTGATGCCTTATTACCAGTGGCTGGCCTGCAGCTTAATTTCGCGTTCTTTGGTTCTTAGCTGGCAAGTTTTGCCCCCGGCCTGACGTAAATTGTCAACAAACTTTTGCAACAATAAACTTCCCGTCTGCCTCGCGTCGCAACGTCGAGAAAAGTAAAATAACGGCTGGGCGTAGACAAAAACCAGAAAACAATAAGTCTTTTTTCGTATTCGTACTTGGTGCATTTTTGCATTTGAATGCAATGTGACTTTTAGCAGCATTTACACAGAGCTCAAGCCGAAAAAGAGAGCTGCATAAGCGGCGAATGAGTTTGAAAGCGTTGCCACTGTCTCCCAGGAGCTGCACAGATGCAAATGTGAATTCTTGATCTTTTTAGACAAGAGTCATGATTGTTTTAGCTTCTGTATAAGTTGACTTATTTTACGTTTTTTTTTTGTGCCTTTTTGTGTTTGATTAAAACACACAAAGTACTTCTCAAAATTCGGTGCTTTTTTATGTTAAGCCAAGGCTTAGTGATACAATTCTTTTATCTATTTAAAGGTTGTGCAATTGCTGTTCTTACAATAGTAGGTTGCTTTAAAATAGCCCTATATTTCAAAAACTTTATATTATTATCAGACTCCTCTATTTCTCAAAATAATAACTTCATTTTAAGCTTCTTATAATAACATTGTCGTATGCAATTTTAAATAAGATTTTTATTTTACAATTCAAGATATTTTTTTAATTAAAAGGGGGTAATGAAATTATATTAAATAATAAATAAATATTAACAAAATATTATAGTTTAAGTAGTACACCATATTCTTTAAAATTTATTTAAATTTGGAAAATATTGCTTTTAATTTACTATTCATTATTTGCATTTATTGATTTTGATTTAATTTGTGCCTTTATAAGTATATTAAATACTTAATTTCAGTTAGATTTAGCTTTGAAAATAAATATAAAAAATAAGTAATAGAATAAACAGTTATTTACATTATATTAACATTATATTAGTAATATTATTAACTGTTATAACAAAACCTCCACATTTATACACACATTTGCTCACATATTTGCTGTTAAAATTGTGAAAATTTCACACGTAATTTGAGATTAATTAAATTTATTTAAATTTACTATAGATATTTTTTTTTGGCAAATTAGTTGTTGTATATAAGAAGCTCAATTAAATTATCCAAAAATCTCTTTCTCTCAATTTATTTCCATGTGATTCAATAAATTAAATTCAACGAAGTTTCATGTTAAACACTTTTTAATAAAGTCTAAAACTAAAATTGAAATTCAAATTGAATTAAATATAATAAATTATTCAGCACATTTAATTTCGTTGGCTAGTTGTATTATGTCATTATCGTCAATAATAACAATAATTGGGCACATTTTTGTCACATGTGGAAACTTTATGCGTACGCTGTCAAAACAGTTGCAAAAGTCCTGCGCCAGGATATCTACTTAAGTACTTAAGCACGTATCTATGGGTTTGTGTGTGTGTGTTTGACTAGAGTGCGTAGCACATGTAAATTTCTGGCTAATTAAAATTAGCATATTCCCTTTAGCGTCGCACAGCAGGATGTGGCCATGGTCTTGCCACACCACATACGCTGTCAGCAGGACTTAGGAACTTGGTTAAAAAAAAAAAGAAAAGGCATAGCTCGCGTTACCAGCTGATTAAAAGGGAAAGCTAACAAGCATTTGCTCTTTGCCTGCGGCTCTTCGTGTCATTTGTACGCCGCATTTGAGTCGTAAAAGTTTATAGTTCTTTTTTACGTCTGTTGTTGACTTCGTTTTGTTTTTTTTTTTCGCTTATATTGTTTAGGTTGAGTTTCTAGTTTGAGTATTTTTTAATTAAATTGTTGTTAGGTTTTTATGACCATGCTCTCAGACGCAGCATGTGTGTGAAATGTAAAATGCAAATATTGCTTGCCATTAAAATTGTGCCGTAAATTAAAATTTAATTTAAGGCAGCGAATTCGTATCGATTGCATGGCAACGTTAAATTATAATAATTATGTGTAAGGACTGGCATACATATTTAATAGAGCATACAATTTTCTGAAAAACACATAAATATTTCTGCTGAAATTGTGCACACTTTTGTACAAATTGTGGCTGAGTTCACCAGAATTAGTCGACATAAATTTGGTTTTGGATTTGGCTTTCTAACTAAAACTGCTGAATCGAAATATGCAGATTTATAAAGTTGCATAATCGGGATATGCTTTTCGATTTTCACCTGAATTGGCTGACAGAACTCAGATAAAATACAAAAATGTATGCATTTCGAGTTTAATTTCGTAGCCAACTTAACGATGCATTTTGAAACTGCCTTGGTTAAAAATAAAATCATTTCTATTATATTGTAAAATTTGATGTGGTTGATAGATTAACCTTGAAGAAAATTCAGTTACCTTTCGCGTGGCTTATTATTAATTGCCGGAAGTGCGAACGCACAGAACCCCAGACTCTGCGGTGCTTAGGACCACAGAAGCATGAATAGATTTGCATTTTAAATGTGTGCAGCATCAGCATCAGCTTTCGGTTTTTATTTGTGCTCCGTTCACTTATTTAAGCGTTGGCCTTTGTAAATACTTTTATAAAAATACTTATATATTAAATGAAAGAAAAGGCAAAAAGCGGAAGGTGAGTTTGGGGCTTGGGGTCATTTCCTTTTGATTTTGATTTTGGCTTTGGTTGGTTTTTTTTTTATATTCTTTTTGTCGGGGGCAGTTTACACTAAATTTGACTTTATACGCAAAGATGTTCTTAGGTTAAATGGTGCAGAAGCACTGCAAACTGTTGACCTGACCTAAGTAAAGCTAAAAAAATAATATATATATATATATATATATACGTATAAATTATATTGTGTGTATGTGCATGTATGAATAAATTTGTGTGGGTTTCCTCAAGAGTCTCTTGCGCGGGCAACCCAACTGTCAAATGTTGTTTTCTTATTTTAGTTTCCACAGCCAGCAAATAAACGTCAAGCGCATAACATAAAAATTGAAATCAAATAAGGAAAATTGAAATAAAAAGCTATGCATATTTTTGTTCTTTGCGGCTCTTTCATCTCGCATGGCAGCCTTGCATTAGCCTGAAGTCTTGAGTGCAAAAGTGTCAACAAAATAAATGCATAAATAAAGATCAGTGCGTCAATCCACAATGACATTTTGCCAACTCGCTCCCGTCCACCCAATTTACCCAGTCAAAAGTCAATGCTGAAAAATATTCAATATGAAAGTTAAGCAGCAACAAGAACAAAGGGTAAGAGGGGTAAGTGAATCAAGAAAAAAATGCGCACTCTTCCATTATTAAAGTGTGTGCTCTCATGCTTGATAAATTGCAGCTGAGCTTTTGCTTGAAGGATTTGCTGCAACTGTAGTGTGAAAATGTCTTGTGCATATAAGGCAGACCGCCCAGACTGTCAGACCGCCCAGACTGTCAGACATGTCAAGCAGCCAGCTGGCATTGTGAAATGGAAATTCAGAGCTCAAAACTCGCAAAACTCTTTTCCTCAGTCTGCAAAAATGTATTAAAAAAATAATAATAGCATACTTTCCGGTTCACATTTTACAGTTAATCATTTGAACTTTGTAGTTGATTCGCAGCAGCACTTAGACTCCAAATGGCTACTCACTGCACAAGCTGGCCAAAACAAGAGCCGCAACAACAGCAACAACAATCAACCAGCTACAGTTGTGTGCATTGTTGTCTGACTTGGCTTTCAGATTTTTCACTTGTCGCTTTCGTTGATTTTGCTGCCTTTGTTGGACCCGTGGCGTTAATATATGCAGCCATAAATCTGCGCATTCAGCATTGCTCAGACTGATACTGTTGCTGTTGCTTTTGTTGTTTTCAACAATGACAACACTCGTGAGAACCACAGCAGTGCGCTGTCATGTTTCCCATATGCCAAAGAATTACGCGGCTCTTTTTGTATTCCCTTTAAAGTGGATAATATAGTGTGCATAACAACAGTTCTTCATAACGTACACAGAATCCATCAATGAATACTGGTATTTCGTAAATATTTAAACTGTCCTATAACCGATTACTCAACATTTGAATTATTCATTCGATCGCGTAACCCAACTCAATCAAAATGATTTTCTCTACTTAGTCAACATATACTATCAACAATTCCAATCAAATTGCATGAGAACTTTTATTTATATATATATATATTTGGTAGGGTATTTAGTGTTCGCAAACTGAAAATGCCTATACCAAATTGTTGTCTTCCTTTCTTCTTCCCTATCCTGGCTTAAGGTAATATTTTGCCAGTCACTGGTCGATAAGATATTGATGCAGCTGCCGGAATCGTTAAATTTAACTGCTGTTAAGAAAAAAAATGTTGCTACAACAAAAAAATTTCACATCAATTCATTTATTGTAAAATACGCTGGCTGTGGCCAGTTTTTCTTTTGAGTCACTTAATACGTAAATTACATAAAATTAATGTATACAAGTATATATGCTTACAGTTATATATGTATATATATATTTATAAATATATAATACATACATATTTATAGTTTTTTTGCTTGACCATTTATTGACTTATCGTAAGTTAGCTGCAATTTTAGCCCCTAAACGTTGTCATTTTATTATTATTTATATAATTTATATTTTTTGGTATATGCAAAACGGCAGAAAATAGTTTTTTTTTTTATTTTTTCTTTTTTATTTTCGAGTATTTCCCTTTACTGCTATTGGTTTTTATTGAGTTTGTGGTTGTTCTCGTTATCTTTGGCATTTACGTTGGTTGTTGCATAACTTAACCAAAATGAGAGTGAAGCTGACAAATGGTTGTGCAGATTGTAGATCTGTAACTGTTAGCAAGCACGATAGGGATAGGATCTGCTGATAACATTCATAATAAAACAATTACACATACCAACTTTGAATTACCATTAGAACTATACTTAATGACTGTTTCAAGCCTTCACAATGTACTTGATATGGACGCTTAACATTTAAACACTAGAGCACAGAAGCACACAAAGTTTCACATAAAAATTCACAAATTTCATAAAAGCTTCGACTTCATTTTTATTTATTTTTTTTTTGGTTTTTTTTCTTCTTTTTTTTTTTCGGTTGCGTACTTTGTGTGTCTGAGTGTTGACATTTATGTATATTTATTATTTGTCTGAGATGCCTAAACTAGACTGGCGTTGACTTAGAGCTAACGTTATTATGGAAATAACTGCAGACATACACGCACCTATTTGTTTTGCTCGTGATATGCCCAAATAGAATGGCGGCAATATGTTTTCAGATATTTGCTTAACTTGGGGAGCGGGGAGTTCAAAACATTTGTGTATGCGTGAACTTATGCCTCTAAGAGATCTGCTGAAAGACAAAACAAATATGTACGGGTTGCATATATCCATGGACAGGTTGCTTGATTAACTAGATTACGCATACACGTTGTGTACTCTATTGTTAAGCACATTTCTTTACTTTCTTTTACTTTCTTTTGTTTTTTTTTCTCGTTTTTTGTGGAATTTTTTGTCGAGGCTAGTAAGCTCTATTGAGATAGTATTAACTACAACTTAGACAAATGGTTAGCTATGTACACAAGAAACACATCAAGAAACACGCATCAAAACTACTTAATTAGCTAGAGCGAGTTTCCTTATCTTTTTCTTATTTCTTTTTCTTAATTTTTGTTTTTTGTATTTTTGTTTTTTGTATATTTTTTTTTACTTTACACTGAGCGTGTTTCACACGCACGCACTCCAAACTATAGTAGGCATGGCTCTGGTGGTTCACTGTGGCTAGCAAGCTGGCTGTTGGCAGCTGCTTGCTTACGCCTGCGCAGAGGCAACGAACTGCACCACAGTGGTTGGCCGTGTGCTCGTTGGCTCGTTGGCTGCTGTGGTTGTTGCCACTTGAGGAGGCGCCTCATTGCCATTGCTTGGCGCACACTCGTCGCTGGGGCGGCGCTTGACCAGCATTTGGCTTGATCTGACCGCAATCCATTCGTTGCGGCCGGCATCAAACCAAGTCAGGCCGAGATTGTAGCGCCCATTGAGATTGGCGTGCTGGCAATGAGAGAACCACCAGCCACCCTCATAGTTAGCAGCACAGTGCGTCTGTGATATATCGCGATCATCGTCAATCGCCGAGAACTGCATGCCCTGCTGATAATTAAGTGCATCCGATGCATTACCACTGTACTCGCCAATATGCAGCCGATACCCATCCGATCGGGACGATATATAAAAGTGCTTGTATTCCGCCACCCAATTGTTGTCGTAGATGTCCTGCATTTGGATACGCAGCTGCGTGCAGTTGTTCAGTGTCAGATGATGCAGCTGCTCATTACCAATCCAGTACTCGCCTCCCGGCGCTCCAAAGCCCTGAGCATAATCTGCCCACGAGCGATTGAAATCGGCGCTGCCATCAAAGCGACGCTGCACTGTCGTCCACCCATCTCCGCTGCAGTGTGTCATCATCGGATGATGTTGACCGGCGGGCGCTATTAGGTGCAGGCCATCCGCATTTGTCGACAGCTCGCTGCAGTCCTGCGGCAGCTTATTCACAATTGCCTCATACTGTGCCTCAACGTTCTCCAATTCGGCCACCAGCGTCTCGGCCAGCTCACTATCAGTTCTCAGGTCTGACGCCTGCGGTTGGTTCTGGCCCGTCTGCTGATAATGCGGACGCTTGTGCGGCTTGTTGAGGTGTGAAAGCTGTGTGAGAGAAAAGGTAAGTTTTCAATACATTATATGTAAATAATATATCTTATACAGGTTGTTTAATATAATATTCACAAGTTCACCTTCACTTATTCCCCTAAAGGCAACAAAACTGCTTTCACTGTTCAATCTTCACAAAGAAACTTTGTGTTTGCATACGATTATAATTTGCAGGCAATTAAAATTTAGATTTTTTCATTGCTCAATACCGTAAATTCAGAAAAAGTTAAACGGATTTATCCGAAGAAATTATAAATGAAATATTTAGATATATTTTTTAACAAGGATTTAAAAGTATAAATGCAAAAATTCTTTGTAAAATTCCGAATCAAACTATCTAAAATGTTTGTGAATTCTTAAATTACTAATGTTTAATAACAATTTATGTAGCACATATAAAAAACAACAATTCAATATTTACAAGAATCTATACTGGAATTAAGAAAAGAAATATCCTGTTTTTTAGATATATAATTTCTTCATTATAACATGAGCTGCCTTTGGTGCCAAAAGTATATCGATTATCGAAATTTGCTTGCGTTTTTGTATTCGGAGTATATAAGAAGTGGCAACTCCCCCATTTTCAGCTTATCCGATTAGAATCGCAATCCTTGCCAATCAAAACTAAATTATCGCAATGGTTATCAGTATATAATCGAATAATTTAGTCATTTGGCATGACATCAGAAAATACTTATAATTTGATCTCTTGGATCAATGTCACTTTCCCGGATATTAATTACCCACCTTATTGTGCAGCTCGTTATGGACAAGTGATTGAACGCGATCCACATTTGTTTGCAGCTGCTCCACAGTGCTGACCAGCTTCTTGACACCATCGCGCTCGTCCTGGAGAGCGCTGACGCTAACAGCCATCGCCTGCAGGGAGCGTGCAGCGTTCTTGCCCTCCTCGCGGACCAGATTCTGCTCGGAGCTGATTTGTGCATTTGCGAACTCCAGCTTGGAGATCTCATGACGCAGTTCGGGTATACTCTTGTCCATTTTGCTTTGCAGTCCCTCCACGTCCTCCAGCAGCTCCAGCATCGAGGTGTGCAGCTTGTCTAGCGTTGCGATCTGACGGCTCAAATTGAAGTTGGCATTGGCGATGCGATGCTGCTCCAGCTCAATGCTGCGCACCCTCTCGTCAATGTGATGATACTTTAACTCGTTCATCTGGCGCCGCAAGTTGCGCTGCGTCAACTGCAAGCTGTGTATCTGCTCCTGCTGGAAGCGGCAATGACGACGCCTATGATCGGCCAGCTCACTGCTCGACAATGACTGCAATTAGAGAGAAAATGAACTTAGTACAGATTACAGAACCAAAGTTGTTAAAGAGCTATTTTTTCATTGCATATTGCTACCATTATTCAAGTCGATCTTATGGGAATTATGGTATCAAAATATTATTGAGCATAAAATACATAGGCATAAACAGCATAAGCAAATATTTTGAAACTCTTGTTTCAAATCCTATTTCAAATTCTATTTATTCCTTTGGCTCACAATAATAATATAACACGATGAACTTGATATGAGCGCTTCTAATTTAACTAAAAGCACTTTAAAACATAAAGTAAAAATTTTCTCAGTTTCTCAAAATCTTCGTTTAAATAACTAAAATAAAAGCAATGTGAAAAGAGTTTGTCGCAAATAAAAGTGTTCGCAAATATCTATTTTATTTTGTGAGTATTGTTGGCAACTGCAAATTCCCAATTTCCAGCGACCACTGTTTGCTTAAGCTGGGTGCTTAATTCTACACAAAGCTTTAAAGCTGCTTTTAGTTAAGCGCTTTTATCATCTGTCCTCTTCCTATAGTTGTCGTTGTCTTAGCGCACTCATAATATGCATGTGCACTGGATTATGTGCGGGGAATTGAATCCTAAATCCATTTATTATAAATGCATTTTGTAACGCACCACAGCAGCGCCAAACAACTTTGTTTCACACACACACAAACAAATACACACAGAATTACATACACAATCACACACTCACACAGACACACACACACACTCTCACACACACTCTCACACACACATGCACACACAGACAACAACAGATAGCGAACATGCAAGGATGAAAGGCGTGCGCAACAATAATGTCAGCGGCAGCCCCACGCTTAAATCCCCGCCGTTGGGGAGTGTGCAGACACACCCACCAGCACACCACAGAGCGTGTATGTGTCACACACACACACACACACACACATCGAGACATTTAGTTGGGGCAACTTGGCAGTTTTCTATGTTGGAGCCATACAAGTTCATATATGGGTTTTTATGCCCTGTACATCTTTCAAATTCGAAAAAAGGGCTATAAAAATGTTGGCAGCAGCAAAAAAAAATATATTTTTAAGGGAGAGTTCTAAATTTCAGGGTTTATTGTTATATGTGCACACAGAACTCGTATATTTTCGTTTTTGTTGTATTCATTATTATTAATATTAAGAGCTAACTTATAAAGTGGTGTAATTGAATTTGATTCGATCTCGCGACCCTCGTTTGCAGTAATTGTAGCCTTATCAAAAATATATATCTCCAAATCATGGAAAATATTTTTGAAAATTTATAGTTTTTCTGATTTTAAGAAATGTTTCTTTTTTATGTTTAAAAATGACTTCTAAAAACAAGAAAAACTAAATTTCAGGGCGATTTCTTTCGGAGTATGCCTTTCACATTAATATATGGCCTTAGCTTTATTTAGCTTTGTTCCCACAGATTTCCCATTTAAATGTCATCCTGCGTTAATTAATAATGATCAGCCAAGAAGCTTATCCCTTTCTCATGTGCATGTCCTGAGTATGTTCTAGTCGGGATTTCACGTCTAAACCAGTCTTACTTAAGTCTGACATATGTGTACACATACATCAAGTTATACTAGTATAATTTAACTGAGTGACAAGCGTTAACCAAGGTAATGGCATTTGGGTCACATTTGTGACTTGTGAATGCAAATGTAATGAATACGCTTGCAGCTCAGCAACTGATATAGCCACAGATACAAACGCAAACCCCTATACAAATTATATATATATATATGGTTCTTCCATTGAAACAAATAATATTATTTCGTATTTCATCTACGCTTTTGTCTATTCACAACGTTGGTTCCAACATCGCTTGTAATTGACTAATAAAGCATCTCGCAAATACGAAGTGAATGGAATGTTCTGCTAATGAATATACACATGAAGAGTGGGTGAGTTATGGAGGTGGCATGGGTTGGGCTATGGGAGTGGGGGGTGCCGGGTGGTAGTGTGAATCTTAGCAGAGTCGAAACTTGGCTGTTTAATTATGCGACATACAAATGAAAGGAAATGAAAGCTATTGTGATGAAAGGAAACGACAACAATAGTGAAAATCAGAGGGACGAGAGAAAGAGACTCTAAAGTTTTTATTCAACTTTTTCTTAGTAATATTTGACTCGAAAACTCAATATATTGAGTAAGTTTAAACAGCAGATTTGCTTTTCTACTCATATTATTAATTACCTAATTTAAAAATTCAGTTTTCTTTAGTTATTTTTCTTCATATATATATTACTAGAATAATTATTCTAGAAAGTATTGCCAAAGGACTCCTGCCTTTATTAAGAGAATGGAAATAACTTTTATAAATAAATGTAACAATATAATGTATTTTCATGTTTTAATGTAGAATTTATTTATAAAAGTTATTTCCATTCTACGGGAATGGGAATTTGAGCTTTTAGCGGTTTTTTTTAATATCTATACTTCAGACATACCCCAATTACTCTGCTATCCTGCCATTATTTTATTATTTATCATCATGATCATTTTACCAGACACTTTTGAAAAAAGCTTACAAAATCATCCTATTATGGAAAATCCTAATCATCACAGATAAAATTCAAGCTATTCTCTTCTGCAGGAAAAGGTATCTGCCACCAGCCATAAAAAACTGAATAACACGTAGGTCCTTTGGGTAAATCAAGTAAAACATTAAGGAGTTATTTTTGAGAAAAATCCTCTTCAGCGGCATTATTGATAGAACAAATATCCACATCAGCATTTTATATCGTTTGATAATCAGTAACTCCCAATCGTCCTTCGAGAATAATAATATAATAATAATAATAATAATAGTGGAGCATATATTGAATAATCTTATAACAACAAGTCAATTATTTTTGTAAATTGCAGTTTTAAGTAGCATTGAATTTGAAGATATTTATTGTTTGTGGACATATTGTAATTAATTTTGTTTTTTTGGCTCCAGATCTACATATAAGGACACACAAGTCATATAATATATAATATACCAGAAATCAGAATTCTAATTTTAGATGCAAGAAATACACTAATACTGATTAGAATTGCGAATGCAATTCTTGAAAAAGGATCTGCTGTAATATGCAATGTGAATAAATATGGTATGGACTCTTCAGAAAAGCTTAAGGCCTTTTTGCGATAAAAATTGCCTTTAAAGAAAAGAAAATATTTGCCAAATTTAAATATAAAAAAAAACATGAAAACAAAAAACTAAAATCGCTTCACATATAGAAATTATTTGTTTATTTTGTGCGCCTTTTGATGGCTGTTCACTTAATTATTCATGTCTCTGTTGGATTGTGAATTGTGCGACTACGCGAAACTTGTGCTGCCAATTTTCAGTTGCTGTTTGTGCTTGCTTTCTTGCCCCAACGCACGTCTCTATGCCTTGTGGCAAGAGCAGCGTTGCTGTTTTATGTGAAAGGTCACGAACATTGCTAATACGCCATGTTCGACAACGCAACCAATATATATGTATATACTACGATATATATATATATAGATATGTATATATATATTTATATTATATGTAGTGAGCACATGGCAGAGGCAGAGGTCGGGCGAAGCTATCAAAATTCGGCGCGTGGAAAAGGTGATATACGGAGGAGATTCGCTGAGGGCGACGTCAACAATATAATTAAATGTGATTTATGTGTTGGGCCCCACGTTCACCAATACCAATTAACAAACAGTCAAAGCGTAGGGCAAAAACAATTTTAAAGACATTTCGTGGCAAGTGACAGCGGTTCTAATTGAAATCGAAATTGAAGCATAAATATTTTATGCCAGGCAGCGTGTGTGTGTTATTACAATTAAGAAATGCTAATCGGGGAAAAAGAGCAGCCGCTAGCCTAATTAATTTGCAAAGCCACACACACAAGCACAGCACACACACACACAACACACACTTGTATAAAATGCATAAAATGCTTGGTTCGTGGGGAGGATTAAAGTGAATTTGGACATGTTGTACTCAAGTGAAGGCTAACAAGGAATAGCTATTAGCGACAGCTATGCAGCAGCCACAATCAGGGACTGACTCTATGTGTGTGTGTGTGTGTGTGTGTGGGGTGTGTGTGTGTGTATATGTGTAGTTGTGTGTAGTGTGTGCAGTACATATAAAAAAAAGCTACTTCGGCTGCTGTCGTTGCTCCGCGCTGAATTGTCGTAAAAATGTAATAGGACTTTTGTGTGCCGCTCAAAAAGTTGCACACACACACACACACACGGATACAGACTATATATATATATGTGTGTGTGTGCCACAAAATGCCATTAAGTTAATGCGCATTTAGGTACCGCCATTTGTAACAACGATGTCTGTTTCCTTATTTCCTGGCCAAATGGCAAACGTGTGCATAATTTGAAACTAAATATGCGCAAATATTGCAGTGCAAAATTCAAAAATGTTTAATCAAAAACTAGAAGAGCTCTTTAACTGAAACTCAACCCAAAGCAATTTTAAAGAAAGAAACAAAGTTCAAGCAAATAAAAATGAAACAGCTTAAAGCAAAAATAAGCATATATACATTAATATATTTTTTTGTGGCAAGACTATGCGGCATGTTGAGGCAGCATATTTATAGCCAACGTCGCTTGGGAAACTTGAGAGACAGCTTCGAATAATAGAAACATGACGAACACACACACACACACACAATCATACATTGGTATAAGTGGCACATATGAATCTCAAGATTATGCCAAGTTTCAATAAAGATAATTTCACTCATAAAATAAATATCAACTACGAGTACCACGTATATGCATGTAAATGAAACTCAAACACCGCCTTACCCACCCAGACAAGAAAAGACCAGCAAATACAAGCACTCCGGCAATCAAACAAATTGCCAGCCGCAGCAGAGCAGCAGCAAGGCGGGCATTGTGGCAACAACAACAACAACCTGAGGGGGGAACTGGGGCATGCTGGAATGTAACATAAAACAAAAGCCAGCACAAATATCAACATAAATAAGGTAAAATG